TAAAATTAAAGCAATACAATTAATCTTCTATATATGCTTTACAACTGTTGCATTTTATAAACAAAACAACGTTTTAGTTTGCAGTCTCAGTGTTAAGAGGACACCAACAGGCTCACATTAGTCCAGACAGAACAGAAGGCTGGGGTTTTTTGCCATTGGCCCCATGACCTGATTCTCTTTGAGTGGTCATTTGATTTTCTCCCAGACTATGATTCAAGATAAACTATAGGGGCTGATCATGGCTAGCAAATGACTTCCAATTCCAAGCAACCAAGACCAGGGTGACAGTAAAAGAAAGCTGGCTTACGGTTTTGGACACAGGGTGAGATGGCTACTGCTGAAATAAGCAAGCACAAGCCGCCATTGATGCCAAGCAGGATCTTGTTAAAAGTACAGCCATCAGCACGGGTATAAAAGACAGCCATCACAGCTAGAGCTCCAACAGCGACGGAATACAATATGAGAGTCACAAGAGCTAAGGAGCCGTACCAAAGTTTATTGTGCCTTGTGCCAGATGTCCTGTTTGAGAAAGAAAAGCACATTATGGATTAAACTCAAAGGAAAACAAATGACACTGAGCAACTGCCTTAAGAAGCATCCAAAGAAGGTTAGTTCATTAGGCCTTTCTGAAGTGGATTAAGAATTAACCTTTTATGCAGGAAGCTACTGTTCTTTAGACATGGGTGTTACTGATTATTTTAAATTTATAGGCCATTCAGGTTACTGTATTTTATTAGTTTGTACTGTGTCTAGTTATACCAGTAGAAGCACAGTAATATTTAACTGTTTCACTCTCCAAGAACATGGTCTCATGTAGCTTACTGATCAGCTTAGCGTTAGGTTTCTCTTAAACTATGCTAGGAAGGTGGGAAGTAAAATTTGGGAGGGGACAGATAGGTGGCTTCCCAGCTCAGCTTAAAAGATGCATGTTTCTAAAAAGGAAGGCGTTATGTCTTTATTATCTGAACCAAGGAAAGTGTGATATGTACACAGATTAACTTGTGATCAGTATGGTGAAACTTCCAAGGCTGAAAAAAAGACACTACTTTGCTTTATTAAAATTAAAACATATTTATCAGGTTGAAGATGATCAAAAATTTGCTTTAGGATATATTTGGAAAAACTAAAGCTATTCCTTCTAAATTTACATATAATTAAAATAACAAGATCTAAGAACCTTGGAAGATTCAGATACAATAAGAAAGGGTGAACAATTCACTAGCTTTTAAACCCCATGAAGGTTTAGATTTTAGCTCTCTTATAAACTTCACACATTTTTAATATCTGAAACTAAGTGGAGGCAATATTGCAGCAGGCTTATTTAGCCAAGAGAAAAGTACAGCAGGCAATAAATAGGAAGTGAGATATATAAAAAGCTACAAACAGAGGAAGCTGGATAGTTACTGTAAAAACAAAGAAACAATTGAAGAGAGAAATTGAATGAGAATGCCTGCTGCAAAACTCTAAAATGGATCAGCTGTGATTCTGATTTTTTTAAAAACAGAATTCAGCTAAGAGGACACCTTTGCTCCCCTTCCCCTTATATGCAGGCATGTATGAGTATATGAAAGAAACCTACCAGTTTTTATTCCATTTGTGTGCAAATTCTACAAGGAGGATAAGCTGAATGATGATGAAAAGAAACCCTCCTGCAGCACCAACATAACGCCATGCTGCAGAAGACATAAAGAATTGCTTGGTTAATTCTGACTCATGTAGAAGGATTATTTTATTCATTAAGTTTATAAAACAACTAAATTATGATAATCTACTTAAAGTAGATTCATCAGATGAATATATATTTGCTCAAAAAATATTTCATAAAATCATACTTCCATGCACAATTGGCTGCAATTATTACCAAGTATTGAGAAAAAGCAGGATTAGAATAATAATTATCAATATTTTTAAACATAGGTTCCTGTTATATAATGCATTAATATTAGAAAGGAAGACTGTGCATATAACATTAAAGGAATATATATATGGTCTGAAGGAGAAACTAGAGAGGATGTGGAAAGTCAAGGCCAAAGTGACGGTAGGAGCACTCAGGGCTGTGACTCCTAAGCTGGGAGAGTGGCTCCAACAGATCCCAGGAACAACATCTGAGCTCTCTGTGCAGAAGAGTGCAGTGCTAGGAACAGTGCTAGGATACTGCGCAGAACCTCAAACTCCCAGGCTTCTGGTGGAGCACCTGAGATTGAGGAAGACACATACCGTCCACAGGGGTGAGAGGGAATATCTATCTATCTATCTATCTATCTATCTATCTATCTATCTATCTATCAATCAAAAGCAGACAAACCTATAGTAAATTAAATTATTTTGCAAAACTGCAGAATATTTTAAAAAATCTACTTTAGGCATTTCATATCTAGGACAAAGGGTTAAAAAAAATTGCATGAGCCCTAAAAGGCCTTTATATAAATCCATTCCAAATTACAGTGTGGGATTAAAATCTGATAAGTTTTCGCACATGTACACATATATGCATTGCCAACCAGACAGAAAAAATTATCTAATTATTGTTTTATGAAACCCTCAAATCATCTTGAATATATTTCTAACTTCATAATGTTCAATATCTACTTTCACAGTTTATTCACGGTAGAAATTACGGAAATGGACAATCTGTAATAACCTCCTTTCTGCCTCTAAGATACTTTGGCTTTTTGGCCATGCTGGCTGGGGATGATGGGAGCTTGCCTTCCATGCATTTGGAGAGCCCCAAGTAATGGAAAGCTAATCTACAATTAAAGCAGCTCCTGGTTCACAGAAAGAAGTTTGCATAAGCTATCAGCAATGCACATATGTCATACTTTGAAAGAATTCAAGTGCCCGTCCAATTACAGGAACAACTGAATGCAGGGAGTGGCTGCAATACCAGCTGCATTTAGCTAGATGACATTATGACCTATAATTTTAGGTAAGAGAGGGAAAGCTCTCTGTAGTTAGCATTCATAATGAAGGCTGATGTTTTATGTTGTGCTGATATCAGGGGTTTGCTCTTCAGATGCTGGACAGTGAACTGAAAGTTCATTCAGTGTTCAAAGTGTTACAACTCTCATATTTGAACCAAGCTGTCCTTTTTGAAGAAATGCCTTAGTGCAAGGATCATAACTTGCAACTTCTGTAAGCTATTTCAACTTAAAAGTGGAAATGGTTTGAAAAACCTTTCTGGCCTTAAAGATCATAAATTAAATAAATTAATCAAAGCACTGTTGAATTCAAGGATCAGGACTGTGCTGTACATAACCTTGAGCATTCTATTTTCTCTTTTCCAGCTGCCATCTACTAGCATTTTTGACTATAGCAAATTGCCTTGATTAATTGGAACTGCTGCCAGATACTGCTACAGAGAGGGATTCTCTTAGTAACAAGATGGAAGCTCTGCCAGAAATCTAATTTTGCATAGTAAATGTCATCAAATTGAAGACCAATTAAACTGCAGGAACCTTTAAGTGCAGTGGCTGCTGACCTACCCCATTACAAGATCAAATGCAATTTGCTTCAATTGTTACACATCAGGAATTGATTGAAACTTTATTTCTGCAAGCTATGTAGTCCAGCTGCACAATAACTGAGCATTGCTGTGACAGGATGTTTCATTTGATGAAAATCCCAACTTTAAAATAGTCTTTCCCAGACAGAGAAGCTGTTATTGGCTCAACAGCAGCTTTCTTGCTAAGGTAGGGTAGACTTTTGGAGAAGTAGGCAATTTAAGCTGAGAACAGATCAATTCCCCCCTTAACAGATTCTTAGCTTTCTGCAGTGTCTTCCTTTCAGCCTCTCCCCACCATGTCCCTCCTGATGCAAACAGAAAACAGGCTTTTAATTATATTAAAATTTAAATGGGCCTTTTATTATATGGTCTCCTGGTTTGAATTTTGCAAAACTTGCTATTGAAAAACAACCTAGAAAGAACAAGTGATGTTCTTTTGTAGAAAAGGTATTTTAAACTAAAAACAGCTTAATTTAGGTAAGACAAATTTATGAAATAAAAAGGGAACTTTACATTGGCTTTTCCTTTTGAGTTGTATACAATGCTACATGTATTGTTAGTTGCAGCCTCTAGCATTTTCTGCTATTTTCTTGGGTGTTTGGCCCAAGGTGAAGTATGGACTATATTTTTGCAGTTGGAATTGTCTAAGTTTGCCAAAGATTTATATTCTCACACTTAATGATGCCTCACAAGAAACATCTATCATCTGAACCATTATAAAAAGGAAGAGGATTAATTTATGCTCTGAGATTTTAACGCTGCTGTTACTATATTGCTATTTTTCATGATCTAAAGCAGGGTTTCTCAACCTTGACAATTTTAAGATGTCTGGACTTCAACTCCCAGAATCCCCCGCCAGCATGTTGGCTGGGGAATTCTTGGGGTTGAAGTCCACACATCTTAAAGTTGTCAAGGTTGAGAAACTCTGCTCTAAAGGACACAGCACAATCCAAACAGTACACATATTAAGCATAGATCATCTGTAAAATTCTTGTATCTGAGTCTTTTACAATTAATTTCTAACTAAATTGAGCTGGGCACAGGGAATAATAGCTGCATAACATCTGCAAAAAAAAACAAACAAAACCACTAAAAATACCAATTTCCAAGGCAGTTTTTGTATGGCTTTAACTGTAAATGGTAATAATGCACAAGTTTGATTTAATCTGCTTCCTTCAACAATCATATCGACCCCTTGCCCTGTCTGCGTCTGGAGCACAGATGCCCACTTCGGTTCATCTTTCCCAGAAAGAGACCAGACTGGTATAAAAAGGCACCATTCTATGGCTGTTTCTCTCAACAGCTACAATGGTTGTGAAAGACTGAATTTATAACCAATTTAGCATCCCTATATCTGCTGTTAACAAATATATCAAAAGGCATAAGCTTTTGTGAGCTGTAACTCACTTAATCAGTTGCATACAGTAGCTAGAAAGATGTAGGATTTTAATTGGAGTAAAGTGTAGGGGAGAAGTAGGGGGAAGGTAGGTTGGTTATGCAGAAGCAGATTACATGTGAAAGAGATTACAAGTACTTTATCAATTAACAATTGTAATGTATTAATTGTGTGTTTGTTGACACCTTCTCAGGTGTCACCTTTGTTGACACCTTCTCTCCTTTGATGTATGTAAATGAAGCAATCTCTTGGTCAGTGGTGCTGTTAAAATTTCTATCACCTTTGGAAGTGCCAAAGAACACAGCTCTTTTCCTACAACTTATCTTCTGTAAAATGATACCTGTATATATTCGACCATGCAGAAAAACGTAAGACAATTCTTTTTTAAATGTGTACCTTTAAGAAAGGTATCCTGATCAGGAATGAAAAAGGCTCCCGAGCACATTGCTGCCAGGACGCAAAGTTTAATAAACCAAAATCTGGGGGGAAAAAAAAATAGAGAGGAAAAAGGAAAGAAATAGAATTACTGAACTGTAAAAAATGAGAAACTCCCAAATTCAAATTGATCATTTGTTGATTTGTGGTAGGAAAAGTGATGGTGCTAGTGAACACGTGAGATAAAATCTCTTCAAAGATGTCATTAAGCATCCAAAAGTAATTTCAAAAAGGCCATTGTTCACACCTGTCCTCTCTACATCAACCGGCATAGGCAGGCACAGATAAGACCTACAAATTACATCATTATGGGGTTTTAGTGACAGAAAGGCCAAGCAGTATATTCTGCAGTATATTGTATGCCTATTGCAACGTTCCCTGATCTGGGTGCCCTACACATGCATTTTTAGACTCAATTCCCAGAATTCCTTGGCCGCACGGGAATATATTGAAATTCTAGAAATCACCAATACATCTTGAGAATACAAGGGAAGACTGGATACAGCCTTTGCAATATATTTATTTTATTTATTTATTAAATTTATATGCTGCCCACCTCCCCCAGAGGGTGACTCTGGGCGGCTCACAATTAAAATCAAACATCAAGAACAGTTACGAATATAAATATCCACATTAAATTAGCTAAAAAAATCATACTATGCATGCAAGATTAATAAATAGGGCCTAGAAAGGACTACGGTTATCACACAAGGGTAAGGGGTGGAAAAATACGAAAAGAATCCCCATAAATTCTGTCATTCATTTCTGACTATAAGTCAATGGTCAATCCATGGTCAGATTATCAGAACTTAAGATAAACTTAAATTCACCTTGCATGTACTTTAAATATGTTAGGGGGGAGTGATCTTATTAAAAAATGCAGGAAATCAAACACCTGCAAACACAGGAGGAAAAGCAGAGGAATAATATAGTCACAGAAATAGTTTATGCATTTATTGCTATACACCTTCATTCAATTCTATGAATATATATAGATGTACCTTATGAGACAAGGAAAACACCAATAAGCCTTTAGTACCTGACCATAGAAAAGGATGTGGAAAGTAAATAAAAGTAAAATAGATAAAGAAGAGATAAACTACGCCATTCACATTGTGAAGAAATGCAACTGCTTAGCACTGTAAGTATCCCCCCAAAACCTCAATGAAAAAATTCATCCAGCTTACCCATTGTGAATGTAGGCACGGCAGCTTTTGCTATTGTTGATTTTAATTGTGAGTAAAAAGAAGATGAAAAAGAAACATGCCATTCCGAAACATACTCGATAAACTGCAGAGTAGCCCACCAGCTTCTCACAGGAGTCACCTGCTTGAATATGTTGACATATTGTTTCATAAAAGTGAATCTGAAACACACAATAAAGCAGATAAGATATATGTAACTGCGTATGATGACAACTGTTTTAAGAAGTTTGGAGACAACTGTGTTATTTCCAAGCCTGTCAAGCCTTCATGCTGCTACTTCATCTGCGTTTCCTAGCAATTGCATTTCTGGTTCAGACAACATGCTTTTTCATCTGCAATTGTCTAATTCATACAACGCGATTTTGCATTATATGTGAACTCCTGTGTTACGGCTTTGCAAAATGATCCAGAGTTTTGCAGAAAAGAATTGGTGATTGAAATACATTAACTATTTAGAAATTATAACTTTCCCCCCCCCCTGAGTTAATAGCCACGTTTCTTTCAGCTTAAAAATATTTGGAGCTGCATTCACTGCTGTTTGGAGATTGTTTCATTTTATTATTCTTTGAATTAGCCAGTTAACTACATTAATAGTTAATACAAAATTAATTTCTAAGAACTTAGATTAAAAAGTTTTCAATATTTGGTTTCACATGATAGAGTAAAGAAATGTGATTTCTACTTATTTCTGTGTGTGCTGACTGTAAGATTCTAGTCTATTTAGCTGCATGTACTGTTCATTCATCCATTTGTTTTTATAAAACAAGAGTGAGCAACACTTTTCTTTTGGGAGCCATAAGATAAGTGAGCCTGAAGCAAGTACCGTGTTTGGCCATTGTCAAAAGAAGCATCCATGCCACCCAGCCTCTTTATTTTGCTTTCTTACATCTCTTACTGCTTGTCTCATTTTCTTTTTGACACTTCTTTATCTCTTCTCTGATCTCTTTCAGAGAGCTTTGAAAAGTATGAAGGCAAAACATTCCTTTGTGCTATAAGTTGCCAACTTCTGCTATACAGATTGTCCTTATTTAATGACCACTCCTTCAGTGACTGTATGAATTTCTGACGGTGCTGAACAAGTTGTACTTTCGACTGGTCCTCCAAGTTTTGGCCATTGCAGCACCCCCCATGGTCACATGACTGCAATCTGGGCCCTTGGCAACCAGCCAGGACTTCCAACCGTCACAGTGAGCCACGGTCATGTGACTGTGATTTGCTACCTTCTTTTCCAGCTTCCCACAAGCAAAGTCAACGGGGAAGCCGGCAGGAAGTCAGAGTCACAATCATGTGAGGTCCTCATTTAAGGACAGTACCCAGGAACTGCCGTTGCTAAGTGGCATGGTCACATGATGTTGCGCTTTGTGACTGCATCACTTAGTAACTGAAATTCCAGTCCCAATTATCATTGTTAAGCGAAGACTACCTGTAAAGCATTATTTCTTGAAGTTCTTTAAATGCTTAGGATGTCTTTAAAACATTGCAAAACTAAAATACCAGGAAAGTGGAAAAATTCCATCCCTCTCCTCCCTTGCTACATATTTGCTTTTGAGGCCACATTTTAACCCATGGAAAAATATCATCACCCACTTTGGCCTCAAGCTTACCACACTAATGTGCAGCTACACTCAGAACACACCTGAAAAGCACATTCTGTGACCTTGGCTTACATCCTTGGGCTGTGCCTCCTATGAAAACTTGTACCCACCCTCTCACAAACGGAACAGTCTGTAAATAGATGCACTGATATATAAATATGCACACATATATACATACACATGCGCGCACACACACACACACAAAACCATCTGCAGTTAAATAAAAACCTCTCTATAGCCTCATAGGCATGGAGTTGTGAAAGCAGCAACTGAGTTGAACATTAACATAGCTGGGCTTTTTTCTCTTTTCCTTTCTTTTCTTTTTTTAGTATAAACAGACACAACCCTTTCAAGCTCAAAACATTTTCCATGGTTAAACTCAGTTTGCAGAAAGACCTAGAGAAAACAACATAGAACATACGTTTAATTTAAACTGGGTGTAAATTAAGAAAATGTGGAGGCTATTATATACAGTTTATGATAGAATGAAATGTAGTGTTGCAAATTAGAAGTACTTTTAGTTTTTTTGTCCAAGGCAGCAGATCCAAACTTTGACTACATCTCCCCCGCCCCCCTCAAACCCCACCAAATGTAAAAGAAGTTCTGTGAGCAAAGAGCTAGCACAGTATACTGGAATGCTTAATGTGTCAGACAAGGACGAGAAAATGCATTCAGTAGCTCAGTAGATGACTTTAGACCAGTGTTTCTCAACCTTAGCATCTTGAAGATGTGTGGACTTCAACTTCCAGAATTCCCCAGTACATTGCTCCAAACTGTTTTAATAATGTCTGGAAACATTTTTTTGGAACAGTAATAAACCAGGAACATAGTTAATGCTTTATTAATTATTTTCAGATACAGAATCATACCACAGGAAGGGCTTGACAGAGGCCTTTTGAAAGTCCTGGGTACATGTAGCTTTTAACACTGCAAATTGTACTTCTCAGCACTAAACTGAGAAAATATACGAACTATAAAAAAACATTACTATCAAACATTCCCTCCAAATGCACCATCTGAAGTCAGCAGAAAACTGAACATCCCGAAGCAACACAGTGAAATTTCAAAAAAGGACAAGCACTAGCTGGTTATGCTACTCATTGTGAGAAATCAATGGCACACTGTTTCACCCACAACATTTACATATAAGGCTGTTTGCACAATCTGGTCAGCTAAGCTCATATTTTTCACAGAAAATGTACTATGGCAATCTTTGGAGTTACTAACTGTGGGAAACCATCAACTGCTTCTAGAATAGGTGCATCATATTTAGTGACACAGTCCATGGAAACTCTTGAATATTCAGTCCCAGTAGCCCCTGGAAGCTAAGGAGGGATGGATCTGAAAACTTCTCAGATGGGAGAGCTCCAGGAAATACCAAATCTGTAGGCTAGATGGCAAAGTCCTACAAAGGAAAGGAAAGGAAAGGAAGGAGAGGGGAGGGG